TCTCCAGGAAAATCGGCCATCTTCTGCTCTACAACAGTGGATCTCAGCTTGCAACACCTGGTACACTTCTGGATAAAGTCTGCACTGCAGTGCTGCAACCAATTATCCAGAAACTAGAGGAGCGGATTTCGTTCACAGTGTAGCCTCTTCCTCGATGGTTTGTCTTATCGTGAAAGTGCTGAATGAGTAACTGCGTCACGTGTGAATGACGAGGGAGGATCACAGGGTGCTTTACGTCTTCCGAAATTTAAGCGTGGTTAATCCTTCCTCCTGCTCGTACAATTCCATTTGCGTCCAGGAATGGATCAAGGCGGTAAAGCTTGCTGGTCTTCTTCATCTCTTGTTTCCTTTGTCTCGTTTCCTCCCTATCCATTTCTCGCTTGGTGTCCATAGATCGTAGCGTAGCTATTTCATCGCTGAAGGTGTCCCTTTGAACTTCTAACATAATCTTCTTCTCCGCGTCTTTAAGCTCCTCGATGTTGACGGCAGCGTTGGTTGCACTTAACAGACCATTGCCATGTGTTTCCCTTCGTTGTTTTGAACGGCCAAAATTCGAACATATCGAAGGCAGATCGCTAGGGCTCCGGTCATACGGAACCAATCGGTTAAATACTGGAGCCTCTCAAGAAGTGAAGGAAACTTGTTGGTCGAGGTTACAAAGGATGAGACTTTTTTCAATTTTTTGTCATCTGGACTGATTAGTGTCTGATCTTTGATGCTTTCCTTGTCTTTCCATTTTTCACAGGGCTTCCACAGGAACTCTGGTCCATTGAACCATCTTGAGCTCTGCAGTAATTCCCTTACGTCGAGTCCGCGAGAAGCATCATCAGCAGGATTGTTCTTACTATCGACGTACAACCCTTTTTCTGGAGGGGTAAGATCTCTGATCTGCTGGACTCGATTCGCAACGTAGGTGTGGAAACGACGTGAGTCGCATTGTATATATCCCTTGACTACTTTACTATCTTTCCAGAAGATCTCATCGCATATGCTGTATTCGATTTCTCTCTTGATCGTCTCGCTTGCTCGTGCTGACATCAACGCGACTGTCAGCTCCAAACGGGGAACAGGAACTGGCTTTAATGGAACTACTCGGGCCTTGCCTGCGACCAGCGAGCAGTGGATTCTGCCGCTGACATCTGCGAGACGAATGTATGAGCACTGGCCATATATATCCCTCTGTACTAGCGTCAGAGAAGTGATGCAGTTGTACATCCTTGACTTCAGCAAAGCCTTCTGGTTTAAAACACCTCCTGACTTCCATCTCTTCTAGCAGGTGTAGCTCTTCTTTCCAAGTTTCCCACAGATCTCTCAACGCATCAGGTACTGGGTCATCCCAATCGATCCCTTCTTTGCATAGGTGTTGAAATATTCGCTTCCTTCGAAGTAGGAGAGGAGCTGCCATGCCAAACGGGTCGTACACCGAGCTGACAATCGACAAAATCCCCCTTCTAGTAACTGGTTTATCTTTCAGGTTGATTTTGAACTTAAAGGAATCTCTTTCAACACACCACTCAACACCGAGTACTCGTTCCATGAGAAGTGGGTCGAGGTCCAAATCCAGGTCCTTTATGCCACTCGCTCGATCTTCTGCAGGGAGTGATTCCAGAACCTCTCTGTTGTTTGAAATGAATTTATGCAGCTTGAAGCCTCCTTTGGCACACATCTCTCTGGCTTCTTTAACAACAGAAACTGCTTCAACTACTGTGCTTGTGGACATAAGACCATCGTCGACATAAAAGTTCGTCGTCAGAAAGTGGGTTGTTTTCTCTTTGCCACGTTGGTTTTCTTCTGCTGTTCTTTTAAGGGCAAGATTTGCACACCCAGGCGAAGATGTCCCTCCCCACACAAATGGACTCTCATCCTGTACTCTTTCGGTGTCTTACTTGTGTCTCCTTCGTCCCAAAAGAGAAATCTCAGAAGGTCTCGGTGCTCTTCATTCACTCATGTATCGAGTTGAAAGTGTAATTGATGAAGTGTAACAATACTCCGGAAGAGACCTCCTTGAAATAACAGGCATCCCTGTGTTATCAGATGACAGCCCCAGACAACTTCTAAAAGAGATTGGATCCCTGATTGATGTCGAAATCAATGATAATCATATTGCAGCAGCTCACCGCCTACCGGATACTGCGAAAGCGAAATATCGAATGATCGTTAAATTTATGCACAGAGCTAAAAGGGAAGGAATGTACAAGAAACGTAGAAATCTAGCTGGAAAGAATATCACCGATTTGCCATCAGTACAAAACGACCCAGTTCATATCGCTGCTAGCAACAACAAAATCTATATCAACGAATCCCTTACCAGTTATCGCAAACGGTTATTTGGACGCATAAACGAATTCAAACGAAGGAACAATTTTAAATACCTCTGGACTGGAAACGGAAGAATCCTACTAAAGGCCAACGAATCCTCAAGAACCGAAGCATTTAATACCCATGAAGAGTTTCAAGCTTGGATAAGCAACCCATAACTTTTACAATTTTTTCTCCCTATTAACCCTCATGCACTTATTCATTACTGTAACTTTTATTTACAACTTACTCAGATATTGATTATGATGACTCACAATAGTCTTCAAGCATTACCCTTTTTTAGCTTAAATGATACAGAGTTTCATATTCTAACAGGATCAAGCTATTTACAACTTCAAAGTTTGAAAGACCTTGACTTATACAACATATTACCTAATCCTGATAAATTTGATAAAGCTGACCCTGATAATATGCTAATTAACCCTGAATCTCAGATACAATTAAATATATGAAGTTCATATATTTTAAACTACGGTGTTAGATACGTATGATGCACGATCCTCGCAGTAGAATCTCACTACTATGATATTCCTAGTTTAAATACAGTCCTAAGCAAATCGGTTAAAAACACTATTTCATCCCTTCATTGTAATATCAGAAGCTTACCTAAAAATTTAAAGCTACTTAAGGATCTCCTATGTTCCTTAAATACACGACCAGATATTATAGGAATTACGAAACTAGGCTGAATAGGAATAATATAGTTAACATCGACCTACCCAGCTATAGGATCTTCCATAGTGATTCTCCAACCTCTGCAGGAGGGGCAGCCCTTTATATTAGCAAATCTCTAAAATCAGTCCCGAGCCCTGGTATTACTTTGGATATCCCCCTAGTAGAATCTGTCTGGGTTGAAATAGCTCAGTCTTCTAATTAAAAAGCCCATCTTAGTTGGCTGTATCTATAAACACCCAGGGGCAAACATCGAAGAATTTAAAGATAAATTTAATGAGACAACTAAACAATTCAATGCTAATAAGTACCAATTATATATCCTTGGTGATATGAATATAGATTCCTTTAAATGTAATACTCATCCACCTGCAGAAGTTTATCTTGATGTGTTGTACTCTAATAATTTATTACCTGTAGTAACAAAGCCAACACGACTGACTCATCACACTGCTACACTAATTGATCATATTTACACCAATAGTTCAAGAAATATATTCTCAGGGATTTTAACTGTTGATATCTAGGACCACCTTCCACTCATTTGTAGTGTAGATATACCAGTTAAAAAAAGACAAAACCTAGATAGATGCTATAGAGACTATTCCAACTTTAATCAGGAATCTTATCTTCAGGATATCAATGCAATCAACTAGAATGCTATCAAAAGTGAATGTATAGACTTACATGAGGTAACATCTAAAACAATTGATCTTCTTAAATCAGTCACTAATAGACATGCACTAATTCGACGAATGTCCCGAAGGAAACAAAAACTATCTAATAAGCCCTGCATAACAAATGGCACTTTAAAATCAATCAGAACTAAACACACTATGTACAAAACACATTTTCTTTCTAATTGTCCGGATAAGGTGGCGAAATATAAAAAGTTTGCGAATAAACTAAACTGGCTTAAAAGTGTGAGTAGGAAGACCTATTTCTCTCCGCACTTCGACCAACGCAAGAATAATCTGAGGACATCTTGGAAGTTAATTGGTACACTAATAAACCGCAACCATAAGGGGCAGAACCCTATTTCAAAAATCGGGTATAACAACAGAGTTTACACAGATAAAACTGATATTGCAGATCAATTTAACAAACATTTTGTTAATGTAGGTCCAAACCTAGCCCAAAAGATTGGACACTGTGAAGGAAAGCCTACCCAGTACATTAATCAACCCCGGTATGTTACGCCGTTATTGTATGATAAGACAGCCATATTGAATTCAACCTCGTGATTTATTGCATCCCATGATGCTCATGGTATTTTCGTGATAGCATACATGACATGTCCCTTTTTTTCTTGAAATAGACAATGAAACTAACGTGACAAACTGTAAACAACTGCATGCAATAAGATAAAGAACGCTTAATCAGAAAGTAAGATAGTTCACTTAAAGTTTATAACAAACGTCACAGCTCATAGTCGTTCAGGTGTTTGGGTTGCTTGACCACCCGACCTGACCGGGTACGAATTTCTGCTGGTGGACCATGATCTGTAGTTGCTCCTGGTCCACAAGGTTTGCTTTGAATATCCGTTGGAGTAAGAAGAGTTGCTTTCTCAGGTTGTGCGATCTGTGCTGCATCAGTCTCTTTGTTCTTTACTTGTGAAACTCTCGTGCGAAGATGGCGTCGATTTCTTCGGTAGACTTTACCATTAGGTGTCTGAACTATGTGTGTGATGCTTGTTTACGACAGTAGCTTCGATCCATTCATTCTCATGGTGCATGGACACCTGCTACCTGGATTTAAGGGGGGCAACACTTTTCTACCGTGTTGGTCATAATAGGACTTCTCTCTGTCCTTTCTCTTTTGAAAGTGTTGCTGAATCGCTTGTGATCGTGGGGGTTTAAGCAAATCAACCATTGTTGGTAGGGAAGTTTTAATCTTCTACCCATGAGTAGCTGAGCAGGTGATAGGTTTATACCATCCAAAGGAGTGTTTCTATAGTTCAGCAATGCCTTGTAAGGATCTTGTGCTTTCTTGAGGAGATTCTTGATGGTCTAAACTGCCCTTTCAGCTTCGCCATTTGCTTGAGGGAAGTGAGGACTTGATGTAGCATGGAGAAAACCATAACTCTTACTGAAATCAGAAAATGCTGAACTGGGATATTGGGGCCCATTGTCACTGATAAGCTCATCAGGTTTCCCATACCGAGAAAATTGACTCTTCAGATGACAGATGACATTGTCGCTGGTTAAGTTATCAAGCTTAGCAAGTTCAATCCACTTTGAATAGTAATCTACACACAGTATGTAATAAATCCCATTATACTCAAACAGGTCAGTTCCAACTTTCGACCACATTCTGTCTGGGAGGTCTTTAATTATCATTGGTTCTCTTGGTTGAGCTTTCTGGAACCGGACACACAAGGAACACTGTGACACTTTCTCTTCAATTTGATATGACATCCCTGGCCAAAATAGAATGTCTCTGGCTCGCTGCTTGCATTTCAAGATGCCTTGGTGTGACTCGTGAATGAGCTCTAACATTTCTTTTCTCTTACTCTGAGGAACAATATACTTCTGTGCTTTGAATAACAACCCATCGATTTCTGAGATTTCATCTCCGCACGACCAATACTCGCAGACAGTTAATGGTAGCTCCTGTTTGTGACAAGGCCATCCACTTCGAACAACCGTGCTTAAGGCTTGCAGGGTTGGATCAGCTGCAGTAGCTTGCTGGAATTCACTGTACCTTTCTTGTGAGATGGGAAGGTGTGCTGTAAGCTGAACTTCATTTACTTCTAAATCTGGGATGAGGTTTTCTTAAGTCTCTTCCAAGTATGCTCTACTTAGTGCATCTGCATCAGAGAGTTCAGATCCTGGTACAAAAATCATATCGCTGCAATGTCAGCATCATCTTCTGCAGCCTTAGTGGTGCTTCATGCAAGGGCTTGTTGAAGATGTATTGCAATGGCTTCTGGTATGTCTCAACATCTGTTGTTCTTCCTTAGATGTACTGATGAAATTTCTGCACTCCATACACGATTGCAAGGGGTTCTTTTTCAACTTGTGCATATCGCTGCTGGGTTGGCGTAAGGGCTCTTGAGGCATAAGCTAGGGGCTTCTCATCTTGCAAAAGGACAGCACCTAGCCCGTTGGAACTTGCATCTACAGAGAAGCATAATGGCTTACTTGGACCATAATAACCAAGGATTGGTGTTGAGGAGGCCATTTGCTTTAGCTTCTGCAAGCTTTCTTCTTGCTGGTGACTCCAGTGCCATGCAACATTTTTTCTAATAATTCTCTTAAAGGAGCACTTTCAATGGCCAGGTTTGGCATGAACTTTCCAAGACACTGGATAAATCCGAGGAATGTTTTTAGCTCCTTGACGTTCTCTGGGGGTTTCATTTCTTTAACTGCCCTTATCTTTTCTGGATCCGGTTTAAAACCATCTTTACTGAGGACGTGACCAACATTGGGAACTTCTACTTGCTTAATTTTGCATTTTTTTGCATTGAACTTTAGATTGACTTCCCTTGCTCTTGTTAACTTTTGTTTTGGTCTTGCATCATGTTCTTCATCGTCTTTACCCCATACCAGGAGATCATCAACAATCACTTTTACTCCTTCCACATCTGTAAACAGCTCTGTCATGTGATTCTGAAATACTTCTGGGGCTGATTTTATTCCAAATGGCAATCTTGTGAAGCGATATATTCCAAATGGTGTATTGAATGTGCAAAGCTTTGAGCTAGCTTCATCTAACTTCACTTGCCAATATCCCGAGGTGGCATCAAGGACTGAAAACACTTCTTCTTGAGGCATATCAGTAACAACTTCTTCTATCATAGTCATTGGAAAGTGTTCCCTCCTGATTGCTTCATTTAAATCTCGCGGATCAATGCAAGCGAAGCTTGTTGGGTTTTACGACTGCTACCATACTATTTATCCAGTGCGTTGGTTCTTTCTGCTTAACTACTACTTCTGCCTTCTCCATCCTATCAAGCTCTTCTTTGAGTTTCTCATTGAGCGAAACAGGCACTTTTCGTGGTGGATGTATCACAGGAGATATGTTTGAATCAACTTTGATTGTGTGTTCACCTGGAAGGCAAGCTAGGCCTTGAAATAAATCTGAGTATTGTTCATACATCTTTTGACTCATTCCCTTTGGACACTTTGAGAGGCTTTGTTGCTGAAGTAGATGTACTCGGGGAAGAAGACCAAGGTCTTGGCAGGTTTGGGCACCAAGGAAAGTAGGAGCTTCTATTTCAACTACATGGAAACTTACTTGAAAAATGTTGCCTTTACATTCACAAGGTAATGTCACTACTCTTTTGGTAGGAATCTGATGGCCTGAATAGGATTTCAGTTTGACTTGAGTTGTCTCACAGGAGTAGAAAGAACTCAAATCTTGCAGAATTTTAGTGGAGATGACATTGACTTTCGCACCTGTGTCTAGTTGGACCTGTATCACTTTGTCTTCTATCTTTAAGTTTTCGCACCATTCACTTTATCTACAGAAGTAACTGAGGTGATGCACTCAATAAAGAACTCATCATCACTACATTCATCTACACAGTTCACTCCTTTCTTATCTGGGCTTTTTGACAGGCAAACTTTGGCAAAATGGTTCAACTCGTGACATTTTGAGCATTTCTTTCCTTGAGCTGGGCATTTGCCTTTGTCATGTTGATAGCCACATCTACTACAATCTTTCCGCATTTTTTTCTAACAAAGGCTTTTTGTTTCTTTGTCTTCACACTAGTTATGCTTGGATTTTCAGTTGCCATGGTTTGCAACTGAGCTGCCGATATTTCTTCTGTTCGGGCTATGTCAACAGCTTTTTCTAGGGTCAGGTTTGAGCCTTCGTGAATGAGTTTTTCTCTTGTTTTTGAAGAATAACAGCCAATTACCATTCGGTCTCGAACCATTTCATCAGGGTCAGCATAACCACAATCTTTAACTAATAGCTTCAATTCTGTAAGAAACTGTTCAAATGACTCACCGGCTTGTTGTACCTTCAAATGAAATTTATATCTGGCAAACACCTTGTTCGATCGGTGTTGATTTGTAGAGTTGACTAAAGAGAAAGAGTACTAAGCGGCGAGAAAAGAGCACTAGGATTCTAGAACACAACTGCTATGTTTATTTCACCTCGTGGTTTCTCGTTACATATGATAATGTATGCTAATTCTGACAACCAGATGAGATAGCCAGTCGACAATCGGGGCTTCACATCGGTTTCAAATCTGTTGTAATACGTCTCGAGTTTCTTCGCTTCATCTGCGGTCATTCCCCACGTATTGTGTAGGTCACGACCTTTGTCTCCTACCCAAATCATCGAGTAATTGCATTTCTCCCCTTCACTTTTACGCTTTAGAGGTCCTCCAAATGTGAACTCACAATGCTGCCTGAATGCTTTCCACGCGGTTGGCAGATCTTTGCTCCTCCAATCCATCTTTGGAGCAGAGTTTCCTTCCATGTCGTCGCTTTCGTCTGATGACGAGTTTAGCAAATCTCTGTTGTCATTTAGCGCCGTGTTAACTTTGTATTTTGGAGAAATTCTAATCCGACTCCCGACACCATGTTACGTTCTGTATGGTAAGACAGCCATATTGAATTCAACCTCGTGGTTTATTGCATCCCATGATGCTTATAGTATTTTCGTGATAGCATACATGACACAGTAGACAGCTTTGTTCTATCTTGTGTTACTGAAATCCAAGTCTGCTCATTATTTAAATGCTTAAATGACCACAAGTCATCCCTAGATATCCCTAAAAAATTAATCAAAATAGCCTCTCAACCATTGTCAATACCTCTAACATAAATTTACAACCAGTCTATAGAAACTGGCATTGTTCCTGATTTATTAAAAGTCTCTCAGGTGTCTCCAGTATATAAAAATGGAGATGCTACAAACCCTAGCAATTATCGCGCAATAGCAACTCTCTCAACATTCAGTAAAATACTTCAACGACCAGTCTACAATCAACTATATTCCTTCATAGAAAAACACCAAATCTTATACAAATATCAATTTGGATTCAGGAAAGGATACTCCACTGAACAGGCTATTCTTGAAATTACAGACAATTTAAAGCTAGAAATTGATAGAAAACAAATCACATGTGGTCTATTTCTTGATTTGTCAAAGGCCTTTGACACAGCAAATCACAGCATTCTACCGTCTAAAGCTCTCTTTATATGGCGTTCGAGGAGTCTCACATAAATGGTTTGAGAGTTATTTTCAAAACCATAATCAATGTGTCAAAATAGATTCCACAAGATCTGCCAATGAAAATATAACATGTGGTATACCTCATGGCTCAACTCTAGGTCCATTCTTATTTCTACTTTATGTTAATGATTTACCCAATTGCACTGATAAACTTTCAGTGCGGAGCTTTGCTGATGATACTAACTTGTTTTTTACCAGTAACAACCCACATAATCTAGAATCTGTTATGAATCATGAGCTTAAACAAATCTATAAATACTGAGCACTAAATAAAAGAAAAGTTGTCTATTAATTTTGCAAAAACTAGTTAAATGTTAATTTCATCTCCTAAATACCACCCCACGATAAATATTGAAAACATTGAATCAAAGAATTATATAAAATACCTGGGAGTCTATATCGATAAGCACCTAAATTGGCAACCGCAGATACAACATATAAACAATAAAATAGCAAGAAACTCTGGAATTCTTAGTATATTGAGACATTATGTCGAATTTAATATGTTAAAAAAATTATACTATGCTTTGATATATCCCTATTTAAGCTATGGTATAACTACCTGGGGCTGTGCCACCAATACTAACTTAAAATGCCTCTGTATTAAGCAGAACAAATTTCTTCGTAGCATCTTCTTTGCAAATGTGAGAGAAAGTGCCAATCCCTATTATAAACTATTAGGAATTCAAAAGTTGGACGCTATTTATAAATTCAGAATATGCTGCTTTACATATAAGATTAATATTAAAAGTGATAGCATTCCAGATATCTTCCTTGATATCCTGACCCAGGCAGCTGAAAAACATAAATATGATACAAGATTTGCTACTAATAATAATTTTTTTAGACCAAGAGTAGCCACCAACATAGAAAAATCATCATTTATATTCTCTGCTTCAAAGATATGGGAAACCGTACCCACTTATCTTAAATACATGCCTTAAAATAGCTTTAAAAAAGAATGGAAACATCATGACAATAGAAACAATGGGCTTCCTACAGATATTGTATGTTTGGATTTTGCGAAAGCGTTCGACTCTGTCCCACATGAACGTTTATTATTAAAACTACATGCATATGGTATTAGAGACCCGCTACTATCGTGGGTAAGGAGTTTCTTGACAAACCGTCAACAGCGTGTTGTACTCCGAGGTCATTATTCATCCTGGACAGCTGTCCTATCCGGTGTGCCGCAGGGAACCGTACTAGGACCCGAACAATGGAGCATTGATTGGCAGTTAAGCTTTAATACAACCAAGTGTGAAATAATGCGAATTGTTGATTGGCTATCTCATCTGGTTGTCAGAATTAGCATAAATTATCTTATGTAACGAGAGACCACGAGGTGAAATAAACATGGCAGTTGTGTTTTAGAATCCTAGCACTCTTTGCTCGCCGCTTACTACTCTTTCTCTTTAGTCAACTCTACAAATCAACACGAATCTCAAAGAAGAATGAGACATGATGTCCCGAATATCACTTATGTGGTAACAGATTAAATTCAGTGTCCGAAACAAAAGATCTTGGTATTTATATCACGTCAAATCTTTCATGGAGCCTACAAGCCACCAAATGTGCAAACAAAGCTAACAGTTTTCTCAGCTTTGTTAGACGGATTGTTGGACCAAAAAACCCGAACTTGTTCTCTAAGTTGTACGAAAGTCTTGTAAGGCCAATCCTTGAATACAGTTCCCCAGTATGGTCGCCACATCTAAAGGAAGACATTGCTACTCTAGAAAAAGTCCAAAGACGTGCATCCAGATTTGCGCTTGGTATAACTGCAAATGATATGTCGTATGAAGATCGATTGAAACGACTTAAATGGCCATGATTAGAAAAAAGAAGAACTTTATCATCACTCACTGAATGCTACAAGACAATAAGTGGACTGAATTGTCTGAATCCATACGAATTCCTTAGCTTTGCGGACAAATACAGACCGCTGAGATCCAACCATCGCTTCAAGCTTAAGACGAGATCTGCTAAGTTGA